TGCAAAAAAGCACGAAGCAGTGAGCGCTCAGGGCCGGGCAACGGCAGACACGAGGCTACAGGCCTTGGCGGCCGGGCCCCCGGGACCACGGGGCCTTCAGAGCGGCCTGCGGGACGGGCGGCCTGCGGGGCCTTCGGAGCAGAGGAGGAAGCTGACTTCGGCCGACAGGCTGTGGGGCAGCAGGTGAAGAGCCCGAGACTTGTCCTGCGAGCTACCGCAAGGCCACAAAATTCAGAGGTGGCGGGGCCACGGTCTGGCTGTGTGAGCCGGACGCCCGGTGTCCCTCTAGCCCAGTGGACACCTCCACGTGGTCTTTCCTTAAAACGCACATCTATTTTCCTACTGGTCACACTGCAGTGACGTGTCTGTCTCCTCCGAGACCATCCTCTGAGACAGGGCTCCTTAGACTGAGACGCTGCTACAGGGCCTGGCAGAGGCCGGGTGCCCAGCGGTGAGCTGCGAGGACGCCCCTGTGACTATGCGTCTACCTAACAAGCCGCGACAGGCACGTGGACGTTCCACAGTCCAGCACCTGAGCGGGGGAAGCAGGTGTTCCAGAACGAAGGAAGGAAAGGCGACGTCACTCCTTCATCCCAACAACCACGTGACCTTTAAACTTCCAAATGTTAACTACTAAATACGTACTTTTTACTTCTAGTCATTTTTACTAAATTCTTTGTTTTAATTCGCAGGGACCTCGCCGACTCTGGGTTGAGCATGTCGGTGTGGGGGTTCCCGACGTGGCCAAGCACTGACCGCGAGCCGTGAACGCCCCGCGAGGTGACGCCCACCAGAGTAAAGGGAAACCGCGAAGGGAAGCTGGTGCAGGTGAGCGAGCCCGCTGCTGCCCCCAAGCAACCTCTCGTGACGGCATGGCCTTCTAGAAGCCCACGCATTCTGCCCAACGCACGTTTAACTCCCGTCAGCCTCACCTCGTGGACGAACACCGAGAACCGCGCCAGGATCTGCAGCGTGAGCCTCCACAGGCGATGAGCCAGCGACGGCAGGAACAGCGTGTCCGACCAGCAGCCCTGCAGGCTGCTCCAGGTCGCATGGGAGGCCAGGAGGCAGAAGGAGCTGCCAGCTGCAGAGAGATGCACGTGGGAGGGGCCT